CTAAGATGACACTAAGATTGATACATTGTATATATATATATATGATATTCACAACAGATAAGCAATACTCGACGGCCATTAATTAGGGAAAAATATTTGAAAATAGCTGGAAAATTAAATTCAACTATAATAGTATAATGTATAATAATAATCATGACATAATTCAAGTATTAATACCACGAAAAAACCGTTAATTATTTTGGTTGGGGATAGGTTTGGTTATAAAACCGAGATTGAAAGTATGAGGTGATCGCTTTGATGTTTAGATATTTACTTTGATTATTGATAACCAATAACCGCTTCCAGCATTCCAAAACTAAAAGTGGTTATCGGTTTTCGGTCCTCAAATTTACGGTTTTTTACCGGTTTTCGTTAGAAACAGGTTATCGGTTTTAAGCCCTGATGTTTTCTGTATTATTATAGTTATTTTTGTTAACTTATACTTTCTTTATTGCTTTTCATGTATATAAATTAATATTAATATTATTATGATAGCTTTAAAAGTAAATAGTAATAACTTTAATACATTTATAAAATAAAACAAGGCTTAGAATTTATAGCATTAAATAATTACAATAATTAAAAATCTGGACTGTTGGATTTTTAAAATCCAATAATAATTGTATGTGCTATAACAAGCATTAAAAAATATTTAGAAATTATACTTAATTCACATTAAATCTACTAGGTAGTTATTTAGTAATTACAGGAAACTATCCTAAAATTTCAGTACACATGTGATAAAGTCGATAAAATACTACTTCCCACTATTTCCAAGTACTTTGTTAATATAACCAAAAGCTTTTCTGTAAGGGTGATGTAAATGTTGATTTATAACTCAAAGGGTGACTCTACATTTTTTTATAATATTGTAAAAAAAAATGCCTTGCTTCGTTATATATTTAAGATATATTAGTGTTAACTTAATAAATTCGTTCTCATACTCAATAAAACCACCGCATTCAATAACACATACACATCAACAATATAAATTAAGAAAATAATAGTATTCAAAATAAAAATATGTAAAATAATTGAAATAAAGTTGTGAAAGATGTAAGATGAAATTAAATGAATTAATATTAATATCTTTCTCAAGTTTTTCAAGATTTAAAATGAACTAAAATAAATATGAAATATTGTAATAGTTTTTAGCTGGTAACCTGTGTGTTATATAACTCAAACTTTTATGCTATATTTATATATAATATAATATTAAATAACTTTAACGTTGTAATATTGTAGAATAAATTAACACACGCGCATCACACATAGACTTATAGTTTTATGTATACAGTGGCGTACATTCAATCTTGCTTGGGGGGGGGGGGGTTAACAGGGTATCTTTTTTTTTTCGTTGCACAGATAAATAAGATAAATAACTGCTATAAATAGATATTATTTTATACAACTTTTTTACCAATTTACAGTTTACTTTTACATTACAGTAAATTAATAGCTATTGGAATATAAAAACAGCATAGTTAACAAAACTTTTTAAACACCTATCAATATAATTATTTAATTATCATAATATTTGTATAGTTGTATATTTTAAGTTCAAAACGTA